CCCCCTCCAGTCTCGGGGGACAGGAGGGATTAATTCTCTCCCTTTGCTGACCTGACCAGACCATTTCTTTATTGTCCCATTGTCACTGAAATCACAGACACAGGGATTTAAATCCTGGTTCTGCTCACCAGCTATATTACTTTGAGCTAGTTACTTAACTTCTTTGAGCCTTAGTTTGTTCATTGGTTAAATGTGGATTAAACTTTCATCTTACTTGTTTATGTAAAAGTTAAATGAGATTTAAATGCCCAGCCGAGGACAATACACAGAAGGCCATCAATGAACACCAGTTCTCTTCTCCGCCCTCTTCTTTTCTTCATCTTCCCACTCACCAAACCTTTTCTCTGTTAACTTGCCAACTTCTCCAAATCCATTGCCAAGTTCACCTTTAGTTTGTCAGCTATGTCAGCATCTCATTTCCTCTCGAGCCCCTCTTCTAAACAGACTGATTCTCTTTCATCTTTCCTCCTCTTCTCTCAGATAATAGCTTTTTTACTCCATTCTCTGCCTTCCTCCTCCCCTAGTTCCTTCCAAGTTTCCTGTTTCTGGTCTTTGCTCAATTTGCCTCTGGTTTTAACTTTTTACTTGGAAACATTCTCAAACTTGCAAGAACAGTAGGAGAAATTACTTTTCCTGAAACACTTAAAATTAAGTTGTCTACATAATACCTTATCAACCTCAATTGTTTAGTGTATTTCCTACAAAACAAGGACATTCTCCTCTTAATCCAATACAACTACCAAAACTAGGATATGGAGCTTGAAACATGACTACTATCCAATCCAGAGATGCTAGTCATGTTTCAGCTGTTGTCCCAAATGTGATGCATCTTTAGTCTCCAGCAATCTGGAACAAGTCTCCAGGCTTACCTTGACTTTCATAAAACTGACACTTACAAAGATTACTCACAGTTATTCTGTAAAATGTCCCTCAATATGTGTTTGCTTGTTAGATTTCATTTATCCAACTTGAGCAACAATATCTCAGAACTGATTTGTGTTACTCTAATTGTATCTTGAAGTTCACTTTGAACATTTGATTCAAATGATGTCTACAAGGCTTTTTCATTGCAAAAGTGCATTTTCCCCTTTGTAATTACTCAGTATTTTGTTGGGAGGTATTTTGAGTTATGTAAATATACTCTTGCTCATCAAACTTTCAATAAATTCATTCATTCATTTATATCAATATGAACTCATGGGACCATATATTGTTCAGTAAGTTTTAATCTGTTATGTATGATTATTTATTCTGATTCTCAAATTGCCTCGTCTGGTCAGTGGGAATCCCTTCAAGCTGGCATCTGTGTTCTTTGATATGTCCCATCCATCTTCAAGTGCTTTTTTACTTTCTGACACAGATATTCCAGGGTTCCAGGATCACCTTGTATTTGCTCCACCCCAGCCTTTGTAATCACCCATCTCTTCAAGAAGCCCTTGTGCCCCTTAGTGGAGAATAATATCTGGAAGCCAAGATCGGAGTGCTCATCACTAACTAGGGTGTCATTACTCTGAGGACCTCTTAGGAGCAGAGCTAGGGAAAATACACACACTTATTTACATCTGTATTTACTTCTTTATCCATCTATATTGAGATCCATGAGTTCACACTGATATTTCCCATTCCAACCTCAAGTGACAAGATTCATTCTATTTCTATTTTAATATTTATAATTTTCTTCTCTGATGGTGAGAAATCTTGCTCCCATTATCCTCAGCACATTTGTTATTTGGTCAGTCCCCCTGCATGTACCCAATCTTCCATAGCTACCCCTGCCCCCCACCCAGTACTGCCTGCCTTCTTACTCCCCTCAGGCTCTGACACTGCACAGAGGGCTGTCCATTTTCCGACACAGATGTGCTCCTTACTCTACTTGGGATCTGAAACAAATGAAACCCGATGATAGAGATGCCTTCCTCAGCCTGTGCAACCTTTGATACCCAGCCTGAGGGTGCCTCCCTCACCATGTCCTCCTCACCCCACTCACTCTGCTCAGTGGCCTCTGGTAGCTTAAAAGCAAAGCCGATGAGAAATGCCTCAGGATGACAGTGTAAGCACAAGGTTCACTGGCAACTCTCCACAGAAGGATGATTTTGAACAGCCCAGGATCAGATACTCTAGAAGCCCCCCAAATTCACATAGCCAACCTTTGAAGGATAAGTATGATTTGAACAGGAAATAGAGAAAGGAGATATTAATAGCGGTACAAACATCAGTAATCTGGAGGGACTATGCAGTACCTCAATGATGGCAAATGTAATTGTTTATGTGTCTTTTTTCCTTTCCTTGATTGAAGCAGAGAATTTACATTCATTTAATGTCAAACATCTACATTATAATAATGTGAATGCTGTGGTGGAGGGTAGCTGTGCAGGCATGCTTTGAGGAGAGAGGCATGCCATAATCCAGTTCTCAAAGAGCTTACCTCTGAGCAGAGAGACAAAAAGGTCAACCACCAACTATAGCAGAAGAAGAATGGACCCTTTAGTGAGCTCTAGGGCCTGCAGAGGGCAAAAAGAGTTTAGAGGAGAGGGGTGACTTTTAAATTCCTGCCTGGGAGGAATTCTCATCCACATTGAATAGATAAGGAAACTAAACTAGGTGAGCAAAATATCACATACCAAGTTAGACTGATGGTCAATGATAAGCTATAAAGATAATGCTTTGTCTTTCTTTTACATATTTCTTCCAAGAATCCCTAAGATCATAGAAACAACCAGCAGGTGGTAGAGTCTGCAGATGAACCCAGCTCTGTCTGGCTTCAAAACTCTCACTTCTCCAAATGGGGTCTGTGGATCAGGAACATTAGCATCATCTAGGAGTAGGTCGGCTCTGTCATTTGTGTGGCCCACTACATAAAAATGTTGGCCCATTGTTCACAAAGCAGAAGAAAAGGCCCTGGCTGGTGTGGCTTAGTGGACTAAGTGGTGAGTTTCAAACTAGAAGGTTGCTGGCTTGATTCCCAGTCAGGGCACATACCTGGGTTGCAGGCCAGGTTCTCAGTTGGGGGTGTGTGAGAGGCAACTGAGTATTGTATCTCTTGCTCATCGATGTTTCTCTCATTCTCCCACCCTTTTTCTTGCTCCAAAAATAAATAAATAAAATCTAAAAAAGCCAGAAAAATGTTCCATTGAAGGTCCACTAAATATAACCTTTTCTATCCCCCACAGTCTCTCAACTTATTGTGGTATTTCATATTTGCTATGTAATGTCATACTAAATAAAAAAATAAAAATTTAAATTACTAGCATGAATTTACCATTAATCTTTTTATCATGTAGTGCCAGTTTTAAGTGGAAATGTAAGTTTAACTCATGTGGAATCATCAAAATTACACAATTTGTATTTTGACACATACTGTATTTTGTTCTTAGTGGAACAGTGGAAACACTGAACAAAGCAACTCAGTTGTTTTTATTTTACTTCTTATAAGCACACATTCTACCAACAATCTCTACCTTCTGTTTCCTGATGAATAAGGAAGGAACAGAACTTTCTTTTTCTGTCTATGGCGTCATTTTCAGCATAAGTGGTAGTCTAATAGAGAGAAGTGATACAGAATGGATACAAGAGGGTTTCTTGTTTATTCATATTCCTTAGAACATCATTTCCTTCCTTCTGTGTTCATAGCAAGTTCTGGCTCCAAGGCTATCAGTGCCCTCAACCTTCCTAAGTCAGAGACATAATACATTACCCTGAACTTACTCTAAGACTTGATGAACTCCCACCAGAACTTTGTACTCATGGGGCATCTCAAATACTACATGCAAATGGACAGCAGGAGGCAGGGGGCATGCACACTCACACCACACTGCAACCCTCCTCCATTCTCATGCAAGCTGTATTGTCCCATCTGGCTCCACTTACAAAACACAAGTTCAAATGTAAAACCATTAAGTATTTCAAGAAGGAGACAATAAAGCATTAAACCAAGCTGAGGTCTCTTCTGCACACAGGACCTTGTGTGATAGCAGTGATTGCAACCCATAAAGCTGCCTCTGCCTGGGAGCTTGTTAGAAATGTAGGTTTTCAGCCCTCCTTCCCTGAGCTGACTCAGAATCTGAGTCTTAATAAGCTCCCCAGGTGGTATGTGAGCATGTTAAAGTTTGGGAAGCTCTGGTCTAGTCTAGACCACTGATGAGTCTGTCTCCTTTGCTACGTACACTGGCATTATACCCTGGCTGGGTGAATGAGAATGTTGTCTCTGGTCTTCCCCTTTCCTATATTCCCTTCTGTGGGCCTAACTGCAGCTCTCCCAGATGTCACCAACCCCGTGGGTCTGCTGGCTTTTCTGGTAACCCATTTTCGAGGTGTTACTGAAATCTCATGCTTCATGTGCCTTCCAGGCAAGGCCATTGTATATTCATGAATCCCTGTAGCAAGGCAGAAACCACCATGGCAGGTTTTAGGGGCTGGGCCAGAGATGGGGCCCCCAAAGATGAAAGTCTTATTAACTCACATGTCAGTGTGTAACTGAGAAGTCTTTATTAGCAAGAAGGCAAAGGTGAGAATCTTGTTTTCCTCTGTATTTGCTATTTAACTTCATTTACTTCCCTCCTTTCGCTAGCTTTAAATTTTCTCAGTGTATGAGAGTTCACTATAGTCTCCTTTCTGCATTTGTTTGAGATTGAAAATAATAATAAACACCCCCCCAAAAAAACTTTAGAAAATGAAGAGAAGTAGGAGAAGAGAGTGAAAATAAACTTGAGAAAAGAAGTTAAATCAGAATTAAGAAAGTTCATCTTCTTGTTTTACTTTCAACCTCAGAAGTAAAATAGGCTCACCCCCTCAGCCAGAATAGATGGCCCCTCCGCTTGTGAGCAAAGCTTCACTGCACCTCCAGCTTCACTGCACCTCCATGTTGCAAGCAGATACAGTGTTTTCTTACACAACGGTGGCTCCCCTCCTTCTGTGTGGGAGGCATGAAAAGGAAATGGAGAGAAAGAGGAAAGAAGAAAAGAGAAGAGAAAAGAAGACATAGGCTTGGAAAAGACTCCTACCACTCCTGTGATGAGAATGGCTTCCTTCTTCTCCAAACCTCCATGGTCAAGACCACCAGAAAACATCCTCCAGTGACCAAGCTTGTCAGATGCCAATGTGTGCTTATAATTTATCAGAGCTTTTCTGACATACAGACACATCAGTTTTAAAACTAAGCTTGTATGTCCCCTGACCAGGCCTAGAAATGACTAACAGAATTAAAAACAAACAAACAACCCAGCCTAGGGTGGTAAATGAGGAAGCAGGAAGCAGCACAGAGGAAGTGGAGGGCATGACTTGGACCCACAATGAGACTGGGAGCACGACTTGGACCCACAGAGCAAGCAGGGGACATGACTGGGACCAAAGAGAGACTTGGGGGCATGACTGGAGCCCACAGAGCGAGTGGGGGAATGACTGGACCTCCTGAATGTCTTAGGCTTTCAGCAGATCCTCTCTTCCCCTTAGCCCCAACCGAGGCAAGGGCAACGAAGGAACACCTGAGTAATTAGCATCTTGGGGGTGAGTTTCTCCTGCATAACTGTGTGCTGTGAAGTATTTTCTTATAAATTGCCCTGTGTGCACAATGATTGCATTCTCCTGTGTATCGCCAACTCAGGACATTTGGTAGCATGAGTGGCAGGGACATTTTAAATTCATGGGAAATACAAAACCCCCTTTGTGGGCATTGGTTTCAGCTGCCGCCTCAGGTAACAAGAGTTGAGCTAAGTTTTCCTCCTTTTCCTTTCCTTATCCATTGATTCTCTGGCCAAGGTGCTATCAAGTAGCCTGCTGACCCATAGGCCAAGGGAGGGAGGAGGAGATGAAAAGCACATTAATTCACCAGATGGGGAGTGAGGTGGTTTCATCAGGAGACAGCTCTGTATTTCCAATGCCAGGTCAAAATCAGGTTCAAAAAGTTAGGTCCTGCTGAAAAAATTGAAAGTGTAGAGATCTGAATAGGTCTGCACTGCACTAGGATGTGAAGAATGCTCACATTCCCTCCTCCATTTGACTAGGACCTGGAGCAGGGAGGCTCTAGGCTGGAAAGCCTCCACTGTGTGCACTCAGAGGCCTTCCAGTTAGTCAGACCTTGGTTCAAATCACGTTTCTGCCCTTGTGCAAGATAACGTCTCTGAGCCTCAGCATTTTCATCTGTAAAACAGGGAGAATTTTATCACCTATCTCATAGGCCTTCTGGGAGGAATCAATGAATGAGAATATGCAATAGCCTAACAGCCCAGGGCACGTAGTGCTTAATAACAAGTAGCAGTAATCATAGTGGTAGTTGTTTTCAAGGGGAAGCTATTGCCCAGAAATCCAGCCTCACATATTTCCAAAGAACATAACGAAAGAAACATCAGTGGGTTGTCCAGGCCCCAAGAGATCCACTTCTTACAGAAAGAGCCCCACAGTCTGGCGGTCAAACTACAGATCTGGTCGGGAGTAGGTGGAGCCACACCACTTCCTTTCATGAACAGCCCCTTCTCTTCCTTCTTGCCTGGTTTCCCTCCCCTCTTTTTTTCTCTCTCTCTCTCCATTTCTCTCTCTCTTCTTCTCCAAAAGTCCTGTCAGCTGCACTCTTTCTTCATAGAGCAACTTTAGGAAAACCAGCTCATATGAATGACCCCATCTGCCTCTTCAAGGCAGTGAGGAGAATGGAACAGATGCTCTCTAAATCCCTTTGGAAGTCAACCTTCCACAATTATCCATTCCTCTTTTCTCTTCCTTTTCCATCATTTGTGCCTTTAGCACTCAAACCACTAGAGCAAAATTCTACCTGATTGAGCATCAGTGACATACTGCTAGGTGGAATGGCAATGTAAGAAAAACAAAAAACAAAAAACAGGGATCTTGGGCTTCTTTATTAGGAGAGCAGGACCTGGTTTCACAGTTCCAGCATGACTACATGGCCTGTGGAAGAGGAGGAGGTGATTCCTCCAAAGAAATCACAAAAGAAGAATGGACATTGGGTTGGTGTGGAGCTAGAAGAGAGACCTACGGCAGCCACTGTGCAGAGAGAATGAAATTATTTGTATCTTTCTCTCTTTTGAATTCATGTATTTATTCAGCCTTCTATTCATATATTCACATTTGAGTGTCTAGACCACTGGAGAGGTAAGTCTTACCTAATCTTGAGGATGCTGAGAAGTTTTTGTATTAAAATGATTGTTAAAATATTTTGTGGTTAACAATAATATAGGATCTACTCAGGGAGCACAGTGGATCTCAAGTACTAAATTGAGTCTGCCTCAAGGCCAATCAAGTCCTTGAGGAAATGGTTGCATAAGACCAACCATTCAGAGGATCTCCAGATAAAAGTTAGCCTTATAGTTCTCAGCCTGGGGTGATTTCCCCCCCCACACACACACACATTCTAGTGATATGGGGAGGGGAGAGGGAGCACTCCACTGGCGTCTACTTGGTAGAGACCAGAAAGCTGTTCAACATACTACAATACACAAGACCGTTCTCCATGACAAAAATTTATCCTGCCCCAAGTGTCAGTAGTGGGGAGGTTAAGAAACCCTTAGCAGATGGACAAGGGGCCTTTCAGTTCAGTAATCTTGGTGCCTTTCCACGAGTCTGAGAAGTTTCTTTTCCTAAGTGCTGACTGTGGCCACAAAGCAGTTTTACTAGGCCAGGTGCTGGCTCCTCCACTAAGGGAGTCCACATGTCTCTGGAGGAACCTTGCTCAAGATCCATCTTCTTCCTGCTCTCAAGCTGTGAAAAGCTCTCAATCCAAATTCTCCATGAGACTGTGCATGTTGAGCGCAATGTTTTAATATAGAAGAAACAGAGTTTTCTAGCAGCCAGGACAAGACTGATGTGAAATTCCTGCTTTTGGGCTTCCTTTAGCTTCCTCACCCATTCAAAATCTAATTCTCCGGCTTCCCTTGGATCTTCTGAACTGCACCGTATTCTCCCAGCAAAATTAGCCCTGTTGCTCCAATTAGCCAGGCAATTTATATTGCTTATAATGAAGGTGTTCTAGGTGAAACGGAAAAATCTTCAAATACTTTAGCGACTTCCAAACTTCACACAACATCCTAAGTATAATCCCATCACTCCAACAACATGAATCCCCAGAATATCCTGATTTATACCCTACCTTTTTGGGGATCTGTCATTCAATCAATCAATCAAGCCATCAGCAAGTACTTATTGATGCCCACATATGTTAAACAGAAAAAGTCAAAATAAAGAATAGGGACTACTATTTGTTGGTTGCCTACATGTGCCAGGCATAGTGTTAAGGTCTTTATATTTAATCTCATCTCAGCCTTGTCACTATATTAAAGGTAGATGTTGCTATCCCATTTTACTTTTAAGAGAAATGAGGATTAGAGAGGTCAATGAACTTTCATAAGACAATATCTAGTACTAGTTACTAGAGTTAGGATTTGAGTTCAAGTCTGCCTGTTTCCAAAGCTCATTAAAATTTTTTTTGTTGTAGTACAATTGGCATACAATATTGTATTAGTTTCAGGTATACAGCATAGTGATTTGACATTTAGGTACCTTATAATATGATCACCAGGATAAGTCTAGTAGCCATTGGTCACAGCCAAAAGTTATTACAATATATTGACAATATTCCTTGTACAAACCTCCCCTTTTTTAAACCTCTATATCAGATACAGAAAACTGTGTCCATAGCCCACATTTTGCCCACCATCCTTTATTTTTGTAAATTAAGTTTTACTCTAATAGCCACATACATTCTTTTGCTCAATACTGGCAGAAATCCTTACCACGTTGCCTGCAAATGGTTTTAAGGGCTGCTTAGCAGACCCCTCTCAGCTACCTAAGACAGCTGACTTCTTTTGCCTCTGTGCAAAATACTCCCCATGTTTGTGTGATGGTGCCATGAGGACTTTTGCCAGCAGATCACTTCTCTGTCACTCTGTGAGGACCCCGACGTCTTACTCTTAGATTCATGCTTAGTGCTTTCTGGAAACCTGTCTCATGTAACTGGTCTGCAACGTTATACAACTTAGGACAAGTTTCGAGTTTGCCAAAATCAGAGCATCCGGCACCCTTAAGTCCTCACCAGATGTTGGACCCAAATGGGTGGTAGGCCTACAACTCAGCATTTTGGTGAGAGGCAGTGGGCCAAATGGAGGTGCTGAGAGAGAGGTGCCAAACCAGACATCACTCATGGTAGGTGTGGTGGAGGGGGAGGGGCACTTCAAGCACTAAAAGCACACTTCACGGCCATGACAAACACCTGCCTGATCTCCCCCCTGCACTTAGTTCCACTGGCCCAGACACTTTCCTTTTCAAAAGATGAGAGAGGTAATGATTGTTTCCGTTTCCTCTACAGACAGCAAGAAGGGGACACCTTGTCACTAAGGAAAGACTATAGAGACCATCAGAGATGTTACCTGTTCCGGTAAAATTGCCCTGAGTTCTCCAATGACACTGTGGCTCCTGTAGAAAATCATCTCCTTGGCATAAGCCAAACCCATGCTTTCCTCCAGCCTTATTCCTGGACACTCTCCCCTTCACACCCTTCACTGCAGCCATCTCCGGATATTTTTGGTTTCCTGCTTGTGGCCCCTTCTCTGCCCTCTCTGCTGGGATGCCCTTCATTCCATTGCATTCATGGTTGGCCATTAACAAATATTTCCTCTTGTTCCTCCTCCCAGCATGCTGGTTTTAGGGTCACTTAGGCACCCTTAGCCTTCTGTGCACACTCTATCTTTCTCTTTCCTGCCTTACAGTAAGTATTTGACCTCTTATTGGGCATTCCCTTGGCCTGTACCTCCTTGGATGACAGGGTCTGGCTTTAATCTCCATATCCCAGCACCTGACTAGAGGAGCAGCAACTTCTGTGTGCTCAAAGGATTGCCGGGTTTTCATTTTGACACAGATAACACAGTATGGCAGCTTTCTGTTTAGTGAAGCACACACATGCATGCATCTTTTTTGTGTGCATAACATTATGATGGCACAATATTACTTCCATGCAGAGGCAGGGCATAAGTGTGGCTTGTCATTTAAGTAAACAAGAACTTTGTTTTGCTCTCTGAATCAGCAGATACACTTGAATGCCTGCCAGGTGGTTTGGTACCTCTGCTCATATTTCATATTTACAAGTAGGCTTTCGAAAGTGCTGAGGGTACGGGTGAGGTTTCCCTTCAGTGGTGACCCCATGGGGGGACATGGCTGGGCTGTTT